GTGTGCAGAGGACAAAAAAGGCCACCTGATCTCCAAGTTTAATTTCCTCTGTTGTAGCAATTAGATTCTATACTTGGAAACTTGTATCAAATTTATACATTTTCCTTATACAGAATATAATTATTGGGGAAGGTCATTTTATAATCAAGTAAATAAGGTAGCTACTGAGTATAGTTGTCCATACTGTAAATAAGTGACTTTCAACTAGGGCCCTGTGCCACCTGAGGTGGCACTAGATCAAGGTATGAACAAGGTGTGAAGAGATAAACCGATAACGTCTCTGCCTGGCTAAGTGCCTATCCCTGCTACCTAGCCCCCCTGCAAAGAGGTAAGCACTGTAATATGTAAAGTAGTATTTGAAATGGGGTACTAGTCAACTTAAGAGTTATGGAGTGCCTTGACTGCAGTAAGGGATGCCTCGAGTCCAACACAGTTGAGAACCACTGCTCCAAGTTCAATGTTTCAGTAGCTCCTTAGTAAGAGAATAGCAGAGAGTAAGACACTAACATTTTCTATCAGCCTCTCCAGGGTTACTATGTCTGGCTCGGCCTCAGCTATCAAACTACCTCAGTTTGTAGATCCTGCACCAATCCTACCTCCAGGGTAAAGTATCTAGACACACAGGTGCACACACAAATGTGGTTCAGGGTGTCAGAGTAGTCAACAGTGAAACAAATGCTCTGCATAAGACTCATTATGGTTTCGGAAGGGTTATGTAAAAAACCTGCCCTGGGATTTTTGAAAGTGAAAAAATTGTGTTTATGATATAAACTCACAGCATCTTCAGATCGTCAGTAATGTTTAAACTATTATTTTCAGTGCGATTTTTGTTTTGTGAGAGACACGATAACACCTAGCAAAGTTGTACTAAATCCTGAGATGTCCCTAGTATGGATTCTGTATTTAAGAATGTAACAAAGGCAAAACTCACTCGTTGCTTGGGTGTCAATTTATAAGAAATTAGAATGGACCCGTCTCTAGGTTCTTTAGCCACTCCCAACTCTTAAGTCCAGGATGGAATTAAATAAGCATATCAAGACAAACATTTGCCCTATCAAGTTGGGGTAGGGCAACAAAAGAATCCAGCCACTCACTCTTTCATAACCTCCATGTAAACACATTAGTAAAATGTAGAAACAAGAATATTTTGTACATAAATCTAGTTTCCTCTCCCCCTAATTCTACTCCCTTCCTTATGTTTTCACTAGCCACCTGGTGTGAAATTATAGGACTATATACTGGTGGTCCCTTGACTATGCCTAACTCCATTAATGTAAACCAAAAAAAAAACCCCAACCCTGGCTCAGAAAAACCCAACTTGTGTCTTGTTTCTTCTATGACTGGAGTGTGGTAATTAATTCCTGTTGCATATCTTGTTGTTAAGGGAAAAACAAACACACCCACACACAAACACCTTTCTTGGCAGTGAAGGCACAGTTTCAGGCACTTCAGCACTTTAGAAAGTTTTACCTTAAATGCCCTTGTTATAGCTCAACCTTCCCTTCTCTGAGTCGACTTCTATGTTTTCAGCCCCTCCCATGTTCAGGAGTGCTTTGATTGCCCATCAGCATGCTGATATTTGTGCTACAAGATGAGGTAAAGCATTTTTCAAACTGATTTAATGTTTCATTTCTGAAGTCATTATTTGTCTAGGACTCAATACACAGCACAAAACATAGGGAGTGCTGGCTATTAGGCTTCCATTTTTATAACCCTCCGGAGAAGAAATTCCATTTAGCCTTCCTTATGGAAAGGTAGATGTCATTCTTATCTCTGTTATATTGTCTGTACTTATTTTTACACATTTGTTTCGCTTACTAGCATGGCTATTCGTCAAGGAAAGGATGTTCAAGGGTTTTATCCTGGGCAACTAGGACGGGTACACAAGATGCATATGCCCGAAATGTCTCTAGGGTAAGGGAACTGTTTTACACAAATCTTTTTAAGAACCTTATTCTGGAATTCTTAGCATTCAAATTCAGGTTGGACAGTGACAGCACATAGTGGTGGGAACACCAGATATTCCTTGTCAGCTTTGACTTATAAGTAAAAAGGAAGCACAACAAAAGAGGAAACATGAGCAAAGGGTAAAACGCACAGAAATTAGTCGAAATCACTCATTCCTGGGCTGACCATAAAAGTATCATGTAATATTAATTCACTAGCATCGGAGAATCCTGAACTCAAATTGCTCATAAAAAAGCAGACTCATCATCAAGATGTTATTAGATCTATTAAAGATGCTAAGGATCAGTAATTAAAGGGTTGGGGGAGGGGAGAGTTGTTTTGTTTTTCTAATTAAAGGATAATACAGTATATTTCTACAGTAATGTACGTTGAAGCAGTTTAGTTTATGCTGGCTAAGGAAGTAGCCCCACTCACACTAGTTTTAGAAAAATTGGACAAAGCCAATTGAACAATACTGAATCATGATAGTCTAACAGCATGAGTACATGCAGTAAATACCTATTGAATTATAGCTGCATTACACCGAGCGCTCAGTTTCAGCAGCAAATTAGAATGAACATTCATAATGTTGGCTATCCTTCTGTGTAGATTGTGATGTTTACATACCATACGTCAGTGTGAGATTATAGAACTATTTGTGCCTTTTGTCTAGACCTTTTAAAGCACTGCATCCAGCTCCAGTAGAGCATGAAGTTGAAACTCAGTCCCATCATGACTTTGACAATTTAACTCAAGCGGTACATCCATTTTCAAAGGACAATGAAGAAGAAAGGCAGTGACTGGTATAACCAAACAACATACAAAGAAGCATTTGAGTTGCCATTTTATGATATGGGTAAGTGAACTCTGCTAAACTAGTCTAACTAGACAAAGGTTCTCTTTCTTTTTTATAAGGCTCATTCAAACCTATTTGCAATTATTACAAAGACTCAGGATTAACTAATTTTAGATATGTGAGACAGGAAAGTATTACTGCTTCATGAGAAGGGTCTCATCAGTTTTCCTTTTTTACACTACTTAAAAGGAGATGCTAAGCATTATAGCATCTCCATATCCAAAACGGCATGCAGAAAGCAACCAAAGAACCAAAATAAGGCAAACCACCTTTATACAGACTCCCCTCTCAAAAATACAGCAGCTGCTCAAACGTAATACAGATGCTATTCCTTTAAGAGGGTGAATAGAGCTGAACAGTAAGTACCAGGGATGTATGAACAAGTTGATTTATATGTAAAGAACTACTATAAACATAGCACAAGCAAGCACATTGAAGTAAAACAGTTTGATCTAAAAACAGCTCAACTTTCAACTGTTAATGCATTCTGCTTAAAAAAAAAAAAAAAAAAAAAAGACTCCTTAACCCAGGAGTTTCATTGAAATTTCTGGATCAGAAAATCTTGAATGTATTTAATTTTGACAGATGACAAGATACTTATGAATGGCATTAAGTACAAAATACAGTTATAATTAAATTTCTCTCAGGAGCAGTGTATCACACTCACACCTCACCTTGAATTGTCAACATTTCTGAATACAAACTATTGTTATACTTGAAATAAATGCACTTAACTGGTTTCCTACTAGGTCTGCAAAGTTCCAAGATGCAGACCTGGACAAATAATAGTTTCTTCAAATATTGGTTTTGGCTAACTGGATCCTTCAAATCTCTCAACTTCAATCCCAATAAGTTTTTATTTTTTTTAAAACAAAGGAATTACAAGACTGAGTCCACAAAGGGGGTTGGTTGTGCCACAGGAGCTGGCACTTGCCTCTTTTTATCAGAAGTTAAGATTTCTGAGCACACTACAGGCAAGAGTTGACTGTGATGGAGGCCACACCTATCTTTGCAGAACCTTCTGTAAAAGACTTTGACTGCCAGCCTCATCACACAATGCCCTAGCCCAACTTCAACTAGAATTCCACAAGAGGTTATGTGAAGGTAGTAGTATTTCCTGCCCGATTAGGTTGTTTACAATGACTAAACAAAATATCTAGGTGTAAGGACAGCTTAACACTGCATTATAGTATGGCATCAACAAGGTTAACAGGCAGCTGGCAAATGAGTGTGGCCGTAGCAATGGTTTTGGGAGTAAGGGCACAACACAGAATTATTCCTTTCCAGTAGCATTCAAGCTGTTAGGCACAATGCAAACAGAAGGCATTGGGCTGAACCCAAGACAACTTATACGGAGCATGTATTTATTACAGAAAACAAGCAGCACACAACATGTACTCTCCTTTCGTTACTCCATAGACAATCGTGTTTTTGATTAGTGAAAACAGTTGACGCTACTGACTTTAAAAAAGTCAAGACATTAAGGTGCCTTTCCATTTTGTCTGTTAGAAAAGTTGTGAAATGCATTTATGAAAATGCATTGATACCCCAATTTCCCCATAGAATTCAATGCTTCTCAGAGGCATGAACAGGGGACTTCTACAGCCTCTGATAAAAATCTGTCTGTGTCACCTCCGGGCCACATTGATCACAAAACAAAGCTAGCCTTCAGATTTTATTTTATAAACTTAACAATTTTTGACATATTAACTCAAATCAAGCATTCCCTGCCATATGTCTTTTGCAATTGTTAAGGCCTTCCCTAAGATCCATTTGTCAGATTAAATTGGTTCCTTATCTTGAGAAAGCGATCAGAGACTTGACAGATGATGTATCCCCAACCATTCCCAAGCATATCCCATCACTTCCCAATCCATTTATCGAATGGTCATGGGTCCCTCTGTCCCTACCAGGAAAGCAGCGCAGATGAACCATTGCATATTTCTTGATATCTCAGTGGTTGGCAACCAGGGGTACTTAAAAAGGTCCTAGGTGGTACTCAGACCTAATGTGGCCGATAAATGCTGCATGCATGCGTGCAGCTGCAACGTAGCACACAGGTGACCAGGAGAGCAGCCAGGTTCGGCTGGTAAGTCTGTTGTGAAGGAAAGGGGTGGGAGTGTGGGGAGGGGGAAGGAGACAGATTGAGGCCCCAGAGGCGGGGGAGGAAGTGGGGCAGGGCACCAAACTGAGCTGTGCGGGGTGGCGGCTCCCGCTGCTGCTCACACCCTGAGAGGGTATGGGGGGCATGTGCCCCAGGATCTGTGGGGCAGGGCAGGATGCCACTGCAGGCTGTGCTGGGCTGTGCACTGGGCAGGCGGCAGCAGCAGCACTGGGTTGGGCTATGGGAGGGGCTGCAACCCTAAAATTTGCTGTAGCCCCCCCGTGGCCCCCTCCCAGCGCTGCCACCCATGCCCAGCACAGCCTGGCTCAGCCCTGCCAGGAACAACCCAGCGCTGTCCCTGGCCCACAGCTGCAGCCCACCCTGCCCCATGCTCAGATCAGGGGGCACATGCTCCCCTGTGCCTTCCTGGGGGTGTGCGCAGCAGCAAAAGCTGGGGCAGAGCACGGGACAGAACCGCAGCTCATCCAGGGGCTGAGGGGTGGCGGCTTCTGCCACTGGGTGCACCCTGGAAGGGCACAGGGGTATATCCCCTGGATCTGAGTGGATCAGGCCAGGATGCTGCTGTGGACTGGGGCTGTGCTCGAGGCGGGCAGCAGTGGCCCTGGGAGTGGGTTACAGGGACAGGGGCTGCAGTTACTCCAGAATTTGCTGTAGCCCCCCCATAACCCACTCTCAGTGCCACAGCCCACCCTGAGTGCAGTGCAGCCCAGCCCCAAAAAGGAACAGCCCAGTGCCAGCCCCAGCAGCAATCCACCCTCCCCTATGCAGATCTGGAGGCATATGCCCCCCATGCCCTCCTGAGGGTGCGGGTAGCCGTGGGAGCCACCTCCCACACAACTCAGTCCTACGTGGCACCCCACCCCAGCAACACTTTGTAAATGCAAGGTAAAGCAGAAGGAAGTTCCTTGAAATCAGTTTTCCCCTCCTTTCTCCTGTGGTTGTATTTGTTAGCTGAAATACAAACCTGTAGGGTCAGAAAATAACTTGACAAATAAGCTATTGGGCATTTGATTTCACAACACACTCAGGTGAGAACACGCATCTCTCTCAGCAATGTGCACTCCTTTAACCCAAGCAGCAAGTGCAAGAAAGGAAATTAAACAGATGGGAATTGAGAAAAAGGATTTAAAAAAAAAGGGCGGGGGGGAGAAGAGAGGGGGAAAGAAATAATAAAAGGAGTACATGATGAGAATAGAGAGAACAATCCAAAATAGTCATCCTAGGAAGAGGCTCAGAAAATCCTTGTTTTTTCTTTTTTTGATTTGCAACATGAAAGGTTTTTGGTTTGGGGTTTTTTTGTTGGTATTTGTTTTTGGTTGATAGAGAAAATATAATCTTTAATTCCAGGTTATGCTATGGATAAACATATGCCAGAGACTGATCCTAGACCACTTGTCAACTCGGAGAAGTGCTGCCAGTGCAAGACCCCAAGTTTTTAAATCCACACACAAAAATTGGAATAAGAAAAACATTTCAACTGAACATTAAAAATAAAAATGGTGCTTTGAAGTTAGCCACCCATGCATGAAACCAACAGAAGTCTGTTTTTGCAAAGTTGCAGAAGTATCCTGCATCATATTTTAGCCTGTAGTTGTATTGGTTATGTGGCTCAGAAGCCACTATTAATTTTTATTTGTGAATATGACCATGTGGATTTAAATGAAGGGCACTTTGTATGATGAGAAGTTGAAAACAGATGTGCTCGAGTCTGAAGTGTTCCCAACTGGTAGATTTACAGAATGGGTGGACAGTGTGTTCTTGCTGATGACAAAGAAGGGCACATTAAGGCCACTAACTTAGGGGTATTAGATGCGACTCGCTGAGTCATATCATCTGGTCCAATGTACTGCTGCAAATCTTGGACTAAATCCACTACACCACATACAGTGCATGCTGGAATGGTTCCATGAGCTGGAACTGTTGTGTTACTGCATGCCTTACCTGTGCTGGGCTGGCCCAGCACAATGGATCTGGTGCAGGAGGCTGGTCTGCCAGCCTGATCCAGAGGCTATGCACTGGCCCTGCACTACTTATCTAGCCTGTGGGGTGCAATGAATTTGATACTCACGCATTGACCAATAAGTAGTAATCCCCACCCATCCCATTCACAACACACAAGGACCCAGCATCCTTTACGATACTCAGGCAAGGCAAGAAAACCAACAGAACTTGTTATGGTCTGGCCCAAACATATACATATTACAATTTTTAGAAAACCCCAATGTTTACAGCCCCAAGGATTTACAGACAAACAAAGAAGATTATCAACAAGTTTAAAGTTTTACCAAAAAGCAATAGTTGTGGATGGAGGCATGTTGCAATATTCTAGGTTTCAAGCTGAACCTTACTTGCACAATACCATTAATTTGACTGGTATCAAAATCAATGACAAGTTTACTAAAGAGACAGCTTACTCCTTTCCATGAACAAACCTAAAGGACAATGCTAAAATACAGAAAAATGAAAGCAAGTCTTTCAGATAGCATTTCCACAGGTGAGGTTAAGCAGCTGAGTTTGCCAACAGCACATCTTCCAAATCCCCTAAAGATCTAGCACTGCTTTTTTATGCCCTTACATACGTTCAAATAGCTCCTTTCCCAAGTACTTTATAAACAGTGGCTTCTCATTTAATAAACTGCCATGTTGCTCAAATTGTGAAATTAATTCCCTCCATCTCCCAAAGGTAATGTAAACATTTATTTTCTTCCATAGGGGCTCACTGATGTGAAGCCCCAGAATTCTGCCTGCTGAGATTAACTTAGATTCAAAAGAGATCAAACCAGTTCAACTCCCAAATTAAATTAGGAAATAATCCAACTTTCTTAGATTATCTGACCAAAGGCTAGGAAAAAGTGGACTACATGCCCAACAAATTTACTCCATTTTACAGAGTAAAGCATTGTTGCCTAATGGGGCAACAACAACAAAAAGGAAAAAAAAGAAAGAAAGCCACTCTTTGCTTCCCAAGTACCTCCAAAACACATTCGTGATCTGTATCAAATGGCACATTTAAGGTTCTCTCCATTTGTCATCTTACTTTATTCCTGTAGTAACTTCCTCTTCCCCCACCCAAACCTGATCATTCTACATTGCCTTTAAACATCTTGGCAAAAAATGCTCATATAAATGCAGTAAGCCCTTTCACACTACTCTTCTTATGAAGAATATTTTTATGGCCAATATAAAAACGTATTTGCTGTGTGAAAACACCTAAAAATTAGCCTTGGAATCTAATGAATTAATCTGATTTTATTATATCTATATCTATTTATTATATCTATATCTATATCTCTCTGCTTGGATTTGACCATGAAGGGTATTTTGTTTTATTTTATAATTGAAAGTTTTCTATATTCCCTTTTACCAGCTAAAGTAACTAATCCAGTACAGTAGCATATCCAAGTTTGATCAGTTAATGATTAAGAAACAAAGTATGATATTTCCAAGTGAAGGGAGTATCTGAACATCAAAACGCAAAGTAGAAAAACATCCAATATCATGTTTAGTCATAAACTCAATAAAAACTAGTAATAGTGCAGTTACTTAATCTAATACCTCCAGCACTAACAAAGTAAACATGTCTCTTACCTGCAGTAGGAATTACACCTCCAAAGTGTACATAGAAATCCTTCCAGAAAGTATTTAAATGTCATTAAAGAAAAAGCACCACCCTTGAAGGGTATAAAAGGGTGATTTCTCACCATTTTTACCCGTGTCTAACCCACATTCAATATTATTTCTACTGTATATACATCTCATTTTACAATACTTTGTCAGTACTTTCTTTTGGTAAATGTGAAGTAAAAAGATATTTTAACCAATGATGTATAAAGAAACTTAAAATGGCACCAAAATGTCCTAATCGGATTAAAAACAAAACAAAACAAACGAACAAAAAAAAAACACTTTGCTTCCTTGGCAACACATTTGCTTTTTGGCAGTAGGCACTGTTGAAGTGGAGCCATCTAAATTAACATTTTAAAAGTTAACTAATAAAATTAGAAGAGTTATTAAATAACTATAAATGAGCTTTTTACAATATCAAATTTCTAGGTCTGTGGGCATATTTTCTTGTAAATGCTTAAGTGTAAATTAAGTGTGAAGTGTTTTTGTGCTGTACCCTTCAAAAACAAACAAACCCTTACATACTCCAAACAACTCACCATCACAATTTTCTGAACAAAAAACTCAAACAATAATTTAGACAGTGTTTATAGCATTATAAAATCATTTGTGTCCCTCTCTTTAATCACTCACAACAGCCATAAAGGATACAACAGCTTTAAGAATACAAATAATGAAGACGTAAAACTATTTGTGCAAAACTGCATTATTTTACTGTCTAAAATTTCAGGGAAGTAACACCGCCAAAAGCAGAGAGATGATAACAAAGACAAACAGTCATGAAAGCAATGCCATCTTAGCTTGTTCAACCAAGAATTACATTATGGAGCACGTATTTGATAAAAAAGAAAAAACCTGGTGGCACCATGAGCAACAATAATGACAAATGTCCTGGAAATTGCCAGTTGACAGCTGATACAGGTACAGGTCAAAGTCTTTCAGGTGTAGCAATTAATTTGGTGAGACCATAGCATTTCTTCCCATGCAAGATCTATCTTCAACATCTTTGCTTTGCGGGCTACTAATACATTTAAGAATGAGCAGTCTTTTGAGGAGTGTATGGTCTTTCCATGCATCTGAAATCTTTAAAACAGCTGGATCATTGACTCCCTGGATTTCCCTACTCCAATCCATTTAACTGCAGAAGAAAAGAAGGTGACAGAACAGTTTTCACTTTTTATCATAAACTCAAATGTGACACTGTAAAAGAAAAAAATATGTTCTTCTGTGTAAATATCTATGCATCATTAGCAACCGTAGTATTTGTTATTAAGCAATGACACTGCATTTCTTTAATATCTCTGTGTCCGATCTCCAAGTACCTGATCTTGCATCACTGACTTAAAAAGTAACAAGATCAGGTCCTAAAATTAAGGCCCCTGCTAGGCATGCAAGTAAGGCATGAAGGGACCTGATGTGCAATCTACCTAACTCCATTTCCTGCCATAAGGGAATAAAAGGCAATAAAGCAGGATGGGATAAGGCATCAGATCCCATCCTCCTTTATTGCTAATGCAGGGGGAGCCAGGGATCACTATCCCAGACTTCCCCTGCAACGGCAAGTAATAAGCTCCCACTGGTAGGAGACCTCCTGGCTGATAGGACTCTCATCCACAGGAATCCATCAGTTGTGGGCTCCCAGCCCCCAGGGGCACTCCCTACAGCTGGAAGCCCCACCAACTGATGAGACTTGTAGCCATGGGGCGCACCTGGACCCACACATTCAGTTAATGGAGTCATAGTAACCAACCACAGTTATTCCACAAAAATTATGGCTTAATCCTTGTTTTATGACGCCATTAACTACTTTAACATGTGGCCAGGTTACAATTTAAGACGTGACTAAATTGTTACACACATCTTAAACATAACATGTGGCAGGGGTCTAAGTCTCATAACCCCTTTCAGAAATAGGTGTTAAAACACTGAAGTTAAAATATTTGCCCAACAATCATGTTCTGTGATCAGAAAGAAGCCCACGTCTCCCAACTCCCAGGCAATCTTTCCTCACAAGAAAATGTAAACAGGACTAAGGTGTTGGTAAATCCATTAAAAAGGAGAATAGAGATTTAATTAAAAGCACAAAAACTAATTGGTAAAAAAGTACACAAATGTACTAAAAACCTTTTTTAAATGTTCCCTATTTTTAGATTTTACAGTTAAAACAAAGCAATACATTAGTGTCAGAGTGACAAGGGACAAATATATCAACTTCAAATTCTATCACTCTAGATGCACATTGTGTAATTTTCACTAATAGAAGGGCAAGAGAAATAGAAGTTAAGTTGCTTCTATTCCAGATGGGTTTCTTTACATGTGAAAGTTTGTTCTACTTACCAGGAACACCAAGCTCCGTTTCTAGAAAGCGAACATAGTTCTGTGCATTTATAGGAAGTTCATCAAATGTTCTTGCATTTGATATGTCTGTATCCCACCCTGGGAGTATCTGATATTGAACCTCTACTTTATTTAAGACTTCCTGGTTTGCTGAAGAGGAAAAGAAAAAAGTCTGTTTACTATGTAACTAATATAGACTCATATCACCTTAAAGAACCAGTCGTACAGCTAGAAATCATTTTAATCAAGCCCTAACTTAGTTCTTTTACTGACGGAACCTCCAAAAAGATTTATTTAATGCTACCCCTTAGCTTGAGGAACAATACTGCAACCAAAATAGCAAAAAGGGCCCTAAATGGTGGCTCTGATATAGATATAGGCAGGGGCTTACGTTTAAAAAAAATAGATCAGTGTCCACATCCTTCAAGAAAACCAATATTAAAGAACCAGCTGCATGAGAACAGAATCTTTTTGAAGAATAGCACTGTTACTCCGCATGCTTTCGAGCATCCCATAGCTGGGGCCATGAAACACAAGGTGGTTGCACCCTGTTCTTTTGTTCTCTCATAGAACAAGATATGCCAGACTTCTTATTCTATTCTAACATTTTGCTTGTTGATACAGTATATTCATGTGACCTTGTCCATCAACACATACTATAGTACTCAGAGTACTGGGAAGAAGACTGTGCATGTTAAGGGAACAACTGTCAGCTCCAAAATATTTAAACGAAGACTGGTCTTGGTAGACCAGATAACTCAAGCATGAGGGAGGTGCTTTGTAGACACAGATGGATGGGAAGTTGTCAGTGTCTTTCTGGGAAGTTCTGGGAGTCCCCTGCATACATGTAGACAGTCCTTCCAACAATTTAATGAAAATAACCTTCTGACAATCCTGACCAACATGTCTATCTTTTATCTCTCATAAGACACAAAAACTTCAACTATCCTTGCAACGAGTGAAGGTGAAGTCTGGCAAACTGTCACACAAGTGCAGATGGCTACATATCCCATGAGCTTGAAACAAAACCTTTGGATGGGTCTAAACAACAAGTGAGGCAGACTGACAAAGAATCTGTCATGTGGTATGTCAGCCCTTCCCAGTGGATGGACCCCTAAGTATGCTGTGTCGAGTAGGGGTTGAAAGAGGACTTTACTCTGAGTTGAATGATCCCATATCAGCCAGTCACTAAAAACAAAAAATGGGTAAACTTAAATTTCTGAATTACTCAGATGTGCAGCCAGGACCAGCTATGTACAACCCTCAGGACTGTACAGAAGCTTAAAGTATACCACTCTGAATTGGGAATAAGATACTCATACAAGCAAACTGAGGTAATTTCTATAGATGAAATGACACAGTATGAAAATAAGTGTCTTGCAAGTTTGGAGCAATAGTTTCAAGCAGTAACTGGAAAAGGGCAAATACAGTGCCCAAGAAAGGGGAGAAGGAGGATGCTGTAAATTGCAGACCAGTCAGTCTGACCTTGACACCTGGAAAAATTATGGAACTGATCATCAAGGAATCTATTTTTAATCATCCAGTGGAGAACAAGGTGATAAGGAAGAGCCAGCATGGATTCATCAAAAGCAAGTCATGCATGACCAACCCGATTTCCTTCTATGACAAGGTGAGAACAGTGGATGCAATATACTTTGATTGTAGTAAGGCTTTTGAGTCTCCCATTACATTATCATTGTTAAACTATAGAAACACAGACAAATGAGAAGTACAGTAGGGTGGATACATAACTAGCTAGATTGTTATAAATCAACTCATTGGAAAAAACAAGTAGTCATCAATGGCTTGATGTCTAGTTACGGGAAGTATCAAATGGGGTTCTCCAGGGGTCTGACCTGGGTCCAGTACTGTTTAATATCTTCATTAACAACCTAGAGGATGGAACTGAGTGCATACTTAGCAATTTTGCAGATGACACCAAGTTAGGTGGAGTTGCAGAATGTATGGAGGATAGACAGGATTAGAATTAAGAAAGACCTTGATAAACTGAAGGAATGGTCCAAAGTGCTTAGACAAGTGTTAAGATATATGCTATGTCCTGCACTTAGGAAAGAAAAATTGTGTGTGAAGACAGCCAGATATTCCCCAATCTATGTCACAGTATAGCAGAAGAGCACCTGGGGGTTACAGCAGACCATAAGCTGAATATTTGCCAACATTGTGTTTGTTAGAAGACCAAGAGCAACTGAACTGTATGATAGGAGTGTTACTTGTAAATCACGGAAAGTGTTTTTTCCACTGTATTTGACATTAGTAAGGCTTTAC